TACTCAGGGGACGGGACTCAGAATTTTTAAATTTCAGGGACGGCCAGTGCTCCGGGTCCTTCCAGCGTTCTGTGTCTCCACCGAACAACACTTCCTCTCAGCGAGATGGTTGGCCTTGGTCGTCTTCCTCTTCCCAGGTCACCTCTGACACCTACAGCCAACGGTCGGTGGGTACGTCAGACACAACCGTTAGTTGGCATGGCCCGGGAGCAAGCCCACTGAAATCACGTGTCCTCTACCTGCCCCTGTCCTTTGGTGTTCCCTCACCAAGCGAAGTATCGCATGCTGTGGGCTCAGCCCCACTGTACAGTTGATGATGATGAGGCTGATCGCACTTGGCAGCCTCGTCGTCATCAGGCTATTGCTTCCGCATCATCAGGAGAAGAGGGTGCCAGCTTGGCAGCGAGCAAAACAGTCGGTGGGTTGCCAGGACGGGCAGCAGGGTCGCAGCAGTGTCAGTGGAGGCAAACGGCCACGGAGTACAGCACCAGCTCCACTGCAGCCTACCACCACGGCAGTAGTGGTGCCGGTGTGCACGGAGGAAGTAGCAGTCAGCCAGTGAGGAGTATCGGGGGCAAAGTTTCCTACTCGGCGGGTGTGGCAATTTTTCGTCAAGCCGCCCGAGGAAGTAAACGTAGCCGTATGTCGACTATGTGGCCAGAAAGTCAAGCGTGGCCAGGGGGCCCATGTTGGGACTACAGCGTTGCGGCAGCATATGCAGCGTCGCCATTTGGTGGCCTGGGAAAACCGTGATAAAGATACGGCGGTTTCTGCCTGCCCCAGCCCCCGCTCCATCACCCGCTCCGTTACTTGCTCCGTCACCCGACGTCAATCGCCCTCTATCAGCCAGTCAAGGCTCCAACACCTCTGCTGAGGGGAGTTGTCGCTCGTTGGCATCTTCCGCTCGTTCAGATGCTCCTTCTCCTGCTACTCCTCTTCACGGATTCCGTCAGCAGTCTTTCTTGGAATCCGTTTCCAAGAGACAACAGTTTGCGAGCACGCACCCGACGGTGCAAAAGCTGAACGTCCTCCTGTCCAAGTTGCTGGTGCTGCAGTCCCTCCCTTTCCAAGTGGTGGACTCAGCACCTTTCCGAGAAATGATGGCTTGTGCCGCGCCGCGGTGGAGAGTGCCAAGCCGTCATTCTTCGCCAAAAAGGCAGTGCCAGCCCTGCATTCACATGTAGAAGAGATGGTGGGCCAGTCTTTGAGCATGTCGGTCTCTGCCAAAGTGCACGGCAGCGCCGACGTGTGGAGCTGTAACTACGGTCAGGGACAGTACATGTCATTTACGGCCCACTGGGTGAACGTGGTGCCGGCACAGCCGCACCAGCAACTTGGACAGGTCACGCCGCTTTTGCCTCCACGTTTGCACGTCCTTGGTCCACAAAAGATGTCCGCCTCTACCACCTCTTCTTCCGCCGTGTCCTCAGCCGCCACCCCCGTGCCAAGTCCCATTACCCGACCGGCATATCACATGTGCAGGGCGCAACGGTGTCACGCTGTGCTGCACCTGGTATGCCTTGGCGAACGTAGTCACACAGGGGAGGAACTTCTCAGTGTAATGAACAGAGAAATCGACAGATGGCTGTCTCCGCGCAAACTGAAAATCGGAACCATGTTGACCGACAACGGAAAGAACATGGTGTCTGCTCTGCGTCAAGGAAGGTTGTGCCATGCGCCATGCATGGCTCACGTGTTCAATCTGGTTGTCAAGCGGTTCCTAAAATCCACCATCCCACTGCAAGACATCCTTAAAATGTCACGTAAACTTTGCATGCATTTCAGCCATTCCTACACCGCAAAGCACACCCTCCTTGAGCTGCAGCGGCAGAACGGAATTCCACAGCATCGCCTGATCTGCGACGTTGCAACAAGGTGGAATTCAACCCTACACATGTTAGACCGCCTTTACGAACAGCGAAAGGCCATCACCGATTTCCTGATGTTACAAGCGGATAAAGGTACTCCCCTGTGTAACTTAGATGTCAGCCATTGGCAGCTCATGCGTGACACCTGCCGCTTGCTCAGGCCCTTTGAGGAGGCCACGCTATTCGTGAGTCGGCAGGACTATGGGATGAACGACGTCATTCCTCTGTTGCACGTCCTGGAACAAATGCTGTTAACAATGGCTGGTCAGGGTGCGGTAGACGTGGCGCACAGATCTCAACGCCACATGACCCCTGTGGGGGCAGGACAGGAAGAAGAGGAGGAGGTAGAGGAGGACATTTGTGCTCAGGAATTATTGAGTGAAATGGGTGGTTTTTCCACTCAGCGGACAGGAGTGGAGGAGCAGGAGCATCTGGTAGAGGAGGAGGAGGAGGAGACAGAGGACCCAGACGCACCGTGGCAGTATGCTGTGGAGATGGAGGCAGGGAGTCCCTCGCATTCCTTGGCACAAATGGCCCATAGCATGCTCGGTTGCTTGCGTAGCGACAGCCGAATAATAACCATCAGACAGAGGGATGACTTTTGGCTGTCCACCTTGTTGGACCCTCGCTACCGTTCAAAAATGGTGGCCTTTTTCACACCTGCTGAGAGGGAGGCCAAAATAACGTACTATAAAAACCACCTATGTAGTCAGTTGGTCTCTGCCTTTCTGCGCCAACGTCCATCCTCAGACACTGACCCATGGGCCCTGTGCGCTCGCGTTCCGCTGCCATGGCAGCAGGGGAGGGGTGGGGTGGTAGGAGCAGTGGCAGCTCCACCAGCAGCGGCTGCCTCAGTCTGCAGTCGATGATGAGTAGCTTTCTTCACCAGCGCAGTGAGGAAACTACTAACCAGCCGCAGCAGCAGCAGCATCAGGTGGACCTGGAGCAGGACCTCAAACAACAGGCTTGGGCCTACTTGGACAGCACCCTGCCAACCGAGGTAGACAATCCCCTTGACTACTGGGCAACGAAACTTGACCTTTGGCCCCAACTAGCTGAATTTGCCCTTGAAAGGCTGTCATGCCCGGCCAGTAGCGTGGCATCGGAGCGCGCGTGTTTAGTGCGGCAGGAGGTATTGTAACTCCGCGGAGGACACGACTGTCCACCCAAAGTGTGGAGAGACTCACGTTTGTGAAAATGAATCAGGCGTGGATTAGTCTGGATTTCAAACCACCAGTTCCTGACACAACTGACTAAATCCGCCATGAATCATGCCCCATTGCTGCTGCCCCAAACATGTGCCACTTTCAGGTCTCCTCACACTGCTGGTGTGTTCCATTTTTTGTCATAGGGTGCTGGCAGATTACGGGCCTCCCATTGCTGCTGCCAGGCCCGTAATCTGCCATGGGCCCCTGTACCGCCTCCTCATGCTGCTGCCAGGTCCAGAGTGCCAGGTCCAGAGTGTCTCATGGGTCCCTGTACGGCCTCCCATTGCTGCTGTCTCCATCGCCACACTCTGCCATGTGCCACTTTCAGGTCTCCTCACACTGCTGGTGTGTTCCATTTTTTGTCATAGGGTGCTGGCAGATTACGGGCCTCCCATTGCTGCTGCCAGGCCCGTAATCTGCCATGGGCCCCTGTACCGCCTCCTCATGCTGCTGCCAGGTCCAGAGTCTCTCATGGGTCCCTGTACGGCCTCCCATTGCTGCTGTCTCCATCGCCACACTCTGCCATGTGCCACTTTCAGGTCTCCTCACACTGCTGGTGTGTTCCATTTTTTGTCATAGGGTGCTGGCAGATTACGGGCCTCCCATTGCTGCTGCCAGGCCCGTAATCTGCCATGGGCCCCTGTACCGCCTCCTCATGCTGCTGCCAGGTCCCAGTGTCTCTCATGGGTCCCTGTACGGGCCTCCCATTGCTGCTGTCTCCATCGCCACACTCTGCCATGTGCCACTTTCAGGTCTCCTCACACTGCTGGTGTGTTCCATTTTTTGTCATAGGGTGCTGGCAGATTACGGGCCTCCCATTGCTGCTGCCAGGCCCGTAATCTGCCATGGGCCCCTGTACCGCCTCCTCATGCTGCTGCCAGGTCCAGTGTCTCTCATGGGTCCCTGTACGGCCTCCCATTGCTGCTGTCTCCATCGCCACACTCTGCCATGTGCCACTTTCAGGTCTCCTCACACTGCTGGTGTGTTCCATTTTTTGTCATAGGGTGCTGGCAGATTACGGGCCTCCCATTGCTGCTGCCAGGCCCGTAATCTGCCATGGGCCCCCGTACCGCCTCCTCATGCTGCTGCCAGGTCCAGAGTGTCTCATGGGTCCCTGTACGGCCTCCCATTGCTGCTGTCTCCATCGCCACACTCTGCCATGTGCCACTTTCAGGTCTCCTCACACTGCTGGTGTGTTCCATTTTTTGTCATAGGGTGCTGGCAGATTACGGGCCTCCCATTGCTGCTGCCAGGCCCGTAATCTGCCATGGGCCCCTGTACCGCCTCCTCCTCATGCTGCTGCCAGGTCCAGAGTCTCTCATGGGTCCCTGTACGGCCTCCCATTGCTGCTGTCTCCATCGCCACACTCTGCCATGTGCCACTTTCAGGTCTCCTCACACTGCTGGTGTGTTCCATTTTTTGTCATAGGGTGCTGGCAGATTACGGGCCTCCCATTGCTGCTGCCAGGCCCGTAATCTGCCATGGGCCCCTGTACCGCCTCCTCATGCTGCTGCCAGGTCCAGAGTGTCTCATGGGTCCCTGTACGGCCTCCCATTGCTGCTGTCTCCATCGCCACACTCTGCCATGTGCCACTTTCAGGTCTCCTCACACTGCTGGTGTGTTCCATTTTTTGTCATAGGGTGCTGGCAGATTACGGGCCTCCCATTGCTGCTGCCAGGCCCGTAATCTGCCATGGGCCCCTGTACCGCCTCCTCATGCTGCTGCCAGGTCCAGAGTCTCTCATGGGTCCCTGTACGGCCTCCCATTGCTGCTGTCTCCATCGCCACACTCTGCCATGTGCCACTTTCAGGTCTCCTCACACTGCTGGTGTGTTCCATTTTTTGTCATAGGGTGCTGGCAGATTACGGGCCTCCCATTGCTGCTGCCAGGCCCGTAATCTGCCATGGGCCCCTGTACCGCCTCCTCATGCTGCTGCCAGGTCCACAGTCTCTCATGGGTCCCTGTACGGCCTCCCATTGCTGCTGTCTCCATCGCCACACTCTGCCATGTGCCACTTTCAGGTCTCCTCACACTGCTGGTGTGTTCCATTTTTTGTCATAGGGTGCTGGCAGATTACGGGGGCCTCCCATTGCTGCTGCCAGGCCCGTAATCTGCCATGGGCCCCTGTACCGCCTCCTCATGCTGCTGCCAGGTCCAGAGTCTCTCATGGGTCCCTGTACGGCCTCCCATTTGCTGTGTCCATCGCCACACTCTGCCATGTGCCACTTTCAGGTCTCCTCACACTGCTGGTGTGTTCCATTTTTTGTCATAGGGTGCTGGCAGATTACGGGCCTCCCATTGCTGCTGCCAGGCCCGTAATCTGCCATGGGCCCCTGTACCGCCTCCTCATGCTGCTGCCAGGTCCAGAGTGTCTCATGGGTCCCTGTACGGCCTCCCATTGCTGCTGTCTCCATCGCCACACTCTGCCATGTGCCACTTTCAGGTCTCCTCACACTGCTGGTGTGTTCCATTTTTTGTCATAGGGTGCTGGCAGATTACGGGCCTCCCATTGCTGCTGCCAGGCCCGTAATCTGCCATGGGCCCCCCGTACCGCCTCCTCATGCTGCTGCCAGGTCCAGAGAGTCTCTCATGGGTCCCTGTACGGCCCCATTGCTGCTGTCTCCATCGCCACACTCTGCCATGTGCCACTTTCAGGTCTCCTCACACTGCTGGTGTGTGTCCATTTTTTGTCATAGGGTGCTGGCAGATTACGGGCCTCCCATTGCTGCTGCCAGGCCCGTAATCTGCCATGGGCCCCTGTACCGCCTCCTCATGCTGCTGCCAGGTCCAGAGTCTCTCATGGGTCCCTGTACGGCCTCCCATTGCTGCTGTCTCCATCGCCACACTCTGCCATGTGCCACTTTCAGGTCTCCTCACACACTGCTGGTGTGTTCCATTTTGTCATAGGGTGCTGGCAGATTACGGGCTCCCATTGCTGCTGCCAGGCCGTAATCTGCCATGGGCCCCTGTACCGCCTCCTCATGCTGCTGCCAGGTCCACAGTGTCTCATGGGTCCCTGTACGGCCTCCCATTGCTGCTGTCTCCATCGCCACACTCTGCCATGTGCCACTTTCAGGTTCCTCACACTGCTGGTGTGTTCCATTTTGTCATAGGGTGCTGGCAGATTACGGGCCTCCCATTGCTGCTGCCAGGCCCGTAATCTGCCATGGGCCCCCTGTACCGCCTCCTCATGCTGCTGCCAGGTCCAGAGTCTCTCATGGGTCCCTGTACGGCCTCCCATTGCTGCTGTCTCCATCGCCACACTCTGCCATGTGCCACTTTCAGGTCTCCTCACACTGCTGGTGTGTTCCATTTTTTGTCATAGGGTGCTGGCAGATTACGGGCCTCCCATTGCTGCTGCCAGGCCCGTAATCTGCCATGGGCCCCTGTACCGCCTCCTCATGCTGCTGCCAGGTCCAGAGTGTCTCATGGGTCCCTGTACGGCCTCCCATTGCTGCTGTCTCCATCGCCACACTCTGCCATGTGCCACTTTCAGGTCTCCTCACACTGCTGGTGTGTTCCATTTTTTGTCATAGGGTGCTGGCAGATTACGGGCCTCCCATTGCTGCTGCCAGGCCGTAATCTGCCATGGGCCCCTGTACCGCCTCCTCATGCTGCTGCCAGGTCCAGAGTCTCTCATGGGTCCCTGTACGGCCTCCCATTGCTGCTGTCTCCATCGCCACACTCTGCCATGTGCCACTTTCAGGTCTCCTCACACTGCTGGTGTGTTCCATTTTTTGTCATAGGGTGCTGGCAGATTACGGGCCTCCCATTGCTGCTGCCAGGCCGTAATCTGCCATGGGCCCCCTGTACCGCCTCCTCATGCTGCTGCCAGGTCCAGAGTCTCTCATGGGTCCCTGTACGGCCTCCCATTGCTGCTGTCTCCATCGCCACACTCTGCCATGTGCCACTTTCAGGTCTCCTCACACTGCTGGTGTGTTCCATTTTTTGTCATAGGGTGCTGGCAGATTACGGGCCTCCCATTGCTGCTGCCAGGCCCGTAATCTGCCATGGGCCCCTGTACCGCCTCCTCATGCTGCTGCCAGGTCCAGAGTCTCTCATGGGTCCCTGTACGGCCTCCCATTGCTGCTGTCTCCATCGCCACACTCTGCCATGTGCCACTTTCAGGTCTCCTCACACTGCTGGTGTGTTCCATTTTTTGTCATAGGGTGCTGGCAGATTACGGGCCTCCCATTGCTGCTGCCAGGCCCGTAATCTGCCATGGGCCCCTGTACCGCCTCCTCATGCTGCTGCCAGGTCCAGAGTGTCTCATGGGTCCCTGTACGGCCTCCCATTGCTGCTGTCTCCATCGCCACACTCTGCCATGTGCCACTTTCAGGTCTCCTCACACTGCTGGTGTGTGTTCCATTTTTTGTCATAGGGTGCTGGCAGATTACGGGCCTCCCATTGCTGCTGCCAGGCCCGTAATCTGCCATGGCCCCAGTACCGCCTCTCTCATGCTGCTGCCAGGTCCCAGTGTCTCATGGGTCCCTGTACGGCCTCCCATTGCTGCTGTCTCCATCGCCACACTCTGCCATGTGCCACTTTCAGGTCTCCTCACACTGCTGGTGTGTTCCATTTTTTGTCATAGGGTGCTGGCAGATTACGGGCCTCCCATTGCTGCTGCCAGGCCCGTAATCTGCCATGGGCCCCTAGTACCGCCTCCTCATGCTGCTGCCAGGTCCAGAGTCTCTCATGGGTCCCTGTACGGCCTCCCATTGCTGCTGTCTCCATCGCCACACTCTGCCATGTGCCACTTTCAGGTCTCCTCACACTGCTGGTGTGTTCCATTTTTTGTCATAGGGTGCTGGCAGATTACGGGCCTCCCATTGCTGCTGCCAGGCCCGTAATCTGCCATGGCCCCCGTACCGCCTCCCCGTAATCTGCCATGGGCCCCTGTACCGCCTTCCTCATGCTGCTGCCCCAGGTCCAGAGTGTCTCTCATGGGTCCCTGTACGGCCTCCCATTGCTGCTGTTCTCCATCGCCACACTTGCTGCCATGTGCCACTTTCAGGTTCCTCACACTGCTGGTGTGGTTCCATTTGTTTTGTCATAGGGTGCTGGCAGATTACGGGCCTGTCCCATTGCTGCTGCCAGGGCCCCGTAATCAGTGCCTGAGGCCCC